AATTCAAAAATAATTTTGTCAAGCATCTTTAGCCTGAGAATGTATTTATAAGTGCCCTACACATCGCTCATGACATATGCCATTGCCCTAATAGGGGTTTCACAACCTTGTTTGGGTTCTTTTCTTTATATGAAATTACACGACGAAAAATTGCCTTATCACAAGCGATATCTAAGCATCTAGTATTATCTACTCCTACATCATCATAATACAAGTCACATGCCTTATGAATATTTTCATCGCAGTTTGGATTGTCACCTGGCCTAAGTATTACAACATTTGGTGGGGAACTTAACATCCAATTGGTACCATTTGTGAAATTTTGCTAAAAAGATCACCTATATTCCAATTTTCACTATTTGTATCTAAAAAATTTTGAAAGATCGTTTCATATGAATCAAGAAGACCATTGGTAAAATCTGATATACCAAACAAAGATTGATTATCTTGAAGAGAACGTTATTATTGTTATTTAATATTGAAGTAGAAATGGCATAGTAAATTGGAATACCATTCTTAATGTGACATGTACAGATTTACGTGTAGCATCATAGATATTTCCATATGCGAATATTTGCTCAAAAAAATCTATATTATCAATGACAGAAATATTCCATATATTGTTGCCTCGTATCAAACGTTTCTCTGGTTTTGTTTTATATAAACGAACTTTTTCTAAAAGTCTTTCGTGTTGTTGGGTATGAGATGTTATATTAGCTATACATAAAATGTTATATAAATAATGAAGCAGCTTCGGTTTTGATATAATGAACTCATAATGTGAGTAAGCCAAATATTCGTTCCTAGAAATGCTATATTTAAAATCATTGAAATAAAAAATATAACAATTTTAGTTACACAACTTTCATCAAAAGTTTTTAATGGGAGGCCTCATTGATTTCTTTTTTTAATACTACCGAATGCTTTTTTCTCTGTAGTGTGTCTATAAATCTATTAAAAAAATTTAACAAAAATTTAGGGAAGCTATTTTGATACTCTATTAATGACGTTGGGCTCTCAAATGTTGCTTTATTTTTTTGCACATTATATCGTGCTTTTTACGTTACATTTTCTAATGCTTTTTTAAGTGCTGTAGCAGTTTCAGAGATAATTTCATATTTATACTCTAGATTTGTTAAATTTATATGATCTAACTTTAAAGCCGTCTTAATAAAAAAAGGACTAAATGATTTTAATTTTTCTGTTGAAGATTTTTCATTAGTATTAGAAAACATTTGCATATCAGAAACTAGACATGCTAAAAGAATCTTTTTTTTTATCTTCATCAGTAGTTCCTGCAATATGCAAAATCCAATGACCTAAAAGTTGAAGTGCCTTACTTATATCATTATTATGCATATTTGTACAGTTAAAAGGTTCACGTCCATGATCTTGTTTCTCAAAAAAATATCCACCATGAATAATAAAACATTCTGAACAAATATATCAAGGTCTATATTCAGTCTCTGGATTGTCTATAAGAATTTCTGATTCTTTTTTTGGTTCAAATACTGGACAGACCTTAAGTCCGGCGCAAGGTACTTGTATATTTTTTCCAAAAACATTATGTGAATGCTGTATGCATGTTTTGCCATGACTAAAAAAATACTTTGACTTATTACAAAACAAGCAATGCCGACAATATACCCAGCTCTTTTCAATAGATCGTATTTGTTTAATTTTTTAATAGTGTAATTGATTTTGATCAAAATTGAAATGAGCTTGACAAATACCAATCATTGAAATGTTATCCTCTTTTTGAGCCTGATGAAAAATTGTTGCATCAATTTTCCATGAACCAATAAGTTAAGCAAGTGGTTTTTGTTTTGAATAAACTGAACAACATTTAATATGACCTTCATCAATATCCAAAATTGAACACCGGGTCAACATTTGACAGGTATTTTTTTTTGATACCAAATTCTCAATTAAAAACTCATTTTCATATAAGTTAGATGTACTTGGTTCTGAACTAAAATCGGATGATAATTCATCATTTATTTCTATATTATTATCGCTTATATTGTTTAAAAATATTAGATCACTATTCTCATCTGCTTCTGCGCAAGCCCGTGCTTTCTCAAAACTAATCTCATTAAAAAGAAAGGGTTTGATTTCTACATCATAGTCCAATTCATTATCGTTAGTACTTTCTGCTTCGA